AAGATGACAAAATTTTAAAATTCGAATAATAGGGCGGCACCTGTCGCTTAAGGAGTAGGGCGCTGACCCCATGTGCCAGAAGTGGCAGGTTCAAACCCAGCCCTGGCCAAAAAACTGCAACAATAAAAATAAACAAATAAAATAAATAAATTCAAATTAAAAAAAAATTTGAATAATAACAATTCTGTATGTTTAAGCATCCAAAGTTAAAATAGTACATGTATTTTTTTGTTTAAGTCTTGGCTTTAAAAAAAAAGAAGTTAAAATGGTACTGAGAGTTCTTATAATTCCTGCCCTTTTTCTGGCTTCCTCTCTTGTCAGTACCTTCAGAGCCATAGTACCATATCAAAACCAGGAAATTACCATTACTATGGTACCCTTTAACGGAACTATGAGTACACATTTCAGTGGGAATTCCCCAGTTTTTGCCCTAATAACCTTTTTTGGTCCAGCATCCTATCCCAATTCCATGTTATATTTAGTCATCATGTCTCTTTTAGTCTCCTCTGATCTGTGGCAGTTTGTCAGTTTTTCCCTGTCTTCTGTGACTTTGGCCATTTTAATGAGAACTCAGTTATTTTGTAGAGCATTTTTCAATATAATTTGTCTGATGTTTCCTCATGAGTAGACTGAAGTTGTATGTCTTAGTCAGGAGTCCCACAGAGGCAATGTGTGTCCTTCTCAGCACATTGTGTAGAGGGTACAAGCTGTCAATACATCCAATCACTGGGGTTGCTGACCTTGATCACTTGTTCAAAGTTAATAACAATTTCAAGATAGTTTGTAAGAGAGATCACCAAATAAAATGAAGATCATTAAAACCAAAAGTCATCAACAGGAAAGTTGTCACTTGGTTTCTTAGAGTGAGTTGGTCTCTTATTTTATAATTTTTTTGTATATTTTTATTTTTTTAGAGTCAGGGTCTCACTCTGTCACCCAGGCTGGAATACAGTGATACAATCACTGCTCACTATAGGCTCCAACTCCTGGGCTCAAATGATCCTCCCAGTTCAGGCTTGTGAGTAGCTGGCGTTACAGGTGTCAGCCACCCAACCCAGCTCCTAAGTTAGTCTCTCTTTTTTTTTTTCTGAGACAGAGTCTCACTATGTAGCCCTAGGTAGAATGCAGCGGCATCATAGTTCATAGCAACCTCTAACTTTCTTGGGCTTAAGCTATTCTCTTGCCTCAGCCTCCCAAATAGCTGTGACTACAGGTGCCTACCACAATGCCTGGCTATTTTTTGTTGCAGTTTGGCCACCACCCTCAGTATATGGGGCCAGCGCCCTACCACAGGCGCTGAACCACAGGCGCTGCCCCTAAGTTAGTCTCTTGAGGTCAATCATTTGAATTTTGTATGTGACTTCAGAGAATTACACATCAGATACGCTGGGGCTTTTAGAAAGTGTATGTTATACCAAAGTGTGTTTCTTTCTGAGCACCATTTTGATGTGAGATTTTTTCTTTTTTTTTTTTGGCCGGGGCTGGGTTTGAACCCACCACCTCCAGCATATGGGGCCAGTGCCCTACCCTTTTGAGCCATAGGTACTGCCCCTTGATGTGAGATTTATATATACTTGACATATGCGGTTCAGAACAGTGGTAGGTTCTGAATTGTTTCCGCTCTGTATGACCCTGGTCACTTGACTGAACCTTTCTCTGTCCCTGAGCTTCCTTTGTTCGGGGGACAATGATAATGTTTAACTCATGATTATTGAGGCTTGTTGAGGACTGTCTGAGTTCATACGTGTAAGGTATGAGTAAAATGCCTAGTCTTCAGGAGTGATCTAGTGACTAATGGAGAAATTCAATTTTAAACCTATACTTAAGTTTCACCTAAATGCTGTAAAGACATGATATTCTCCATTTTAACTTTTTTATACTTAACATAAAATTT